CCCGGGAAGAGCGCAATGATGGTGCCAACTTGGGCCAGTGAAGCAATGTCCTCCTCAACTAGACTGAAGAACAAAAAGGACAGCAACTTGTCTGTCCCCCTTCCCCCAATTCCCCAGCACTGTTCCCATCCCCGCAATTCCCCAATAAAAATCTTTAAAAATAAATAAAAGAAGTTACCCTGCCTGCTAGCAGCTTTACAGTATGGTAGGGGAAGTGAAACATGCATATACAATTCAGTCAAGATGAAGAATGAATTTGATCAATAGAGAACAGGTCAAGATGTATAATGTGTGTATATGGCTGGGGGGTTAGAGTTAGAGAAGGCAGAGACAGAGTTGATGGAAAGAGCCTTTCAAAGAATGGACAGATTTGGAAAGATAGGAAGGACAATGGATGGTATGGAGAACAGTTTTAAGTGCTGAGGGCAGAATGAGGAAGGGATATGTGGTTGGGGTGTGGGTGACAAGACAACAGGAGATAGCTTCAGCTGGTTGCACTGTGTTCCTTTGAGGACCAGTAGATGAAATAATGGCTTTGAAAAGAATTGGGACTATACTTCATAATTCTAAACATTTTGTTTGGCTTGAGAATACAGATTTATTTATTTTTAAAGGCGGGCGTGCTTGCAGTTCGAAGGGTGTATTTGACAAAGTGATGAGATCAGGTATATACAAGAGTTATTTTTTAACTCTTCTATGTGCTAGGTGTGCTGCCATGTACTTTACATGTATCGTCTCTTTTTTTTTTTATAAACTTTTTAAAAGATTTTTTTATTGAGGAATTTGGGGATGGGAACAGCGCTGGGGAATCGAGGAAGGGGAACAGACAGGTAGACAAATTACTGTTTTGTTCTTCAGTCTAGTTGCGGAGGACGTCACCTCACTGGCCCATGTTGGTATGATCATTGTGCTCTTCCCGGGTGAGGCAATCGGTCGCTGGTCATTGGTTGGCCATTCACTGCGGCTCACAGCAGTTCTCGCTTACAGCAGTTCTCGCCGGCTGCCATCCGCTCACGCTGGCTGCCAGCCACTCACACAGACCACTGCAGCCCAGCTCCAGGTCATGCTGTTGTTCATCATCTTAGCTGTAGAGGGCGCAGCGTCACTGGCCCTTAATGTGGGATCCAAACCGCGGTCCTGCTGCTCAGAGCTGGTGCTCCCAAGCGAGCTCTCAACCAACTGAGTCAGTCAGCTGGCCCTCATTTCATTTTTTGATAAGAAAACAAAAGCTCTGAGGGCTAAGTAACTTGCCCGTTATCACAGCTGGTGAGAGACAGCTGGGATTCAGATCCAGGTGCCACATTCCTAAAATGTATTACTTAGTAGGTGAACCTGGGCTTTCCCAGGATCTTCCTGTTGGGCCGGAGGCTATGTGGAGCGAAAGCATTAACTGAGTTGATGACCAGCATTGTCAAGGCATGAAAGAAGCAGAGGTGAACTAAGTAAGATAAGTGGCTCTAATGTAAACTGGGGATTTTGGCATCTTCTTTTTGAAGAGTTCCCCTGTTCGTTGAGTCTTTAAAGTAGTAACTTCTTTTCCTGGTTGATAAAAATAAAAGTTATTTTTATAACTCGGGGAGGCATAAACCATGTAGTGTTTATAATAAATAGCACCCTTTTATTTATGAATGAGTAGAAAGGCTGAAAGAGACCCCCAGGGCTCTAGAGTTGGAACAGGTGTTCTCCCCAGGTGCCATCTTTATTGGATGGGTAGGAGGCCTACCTAATGCCCTGGTGTCAGGGATCACTGAGCTGGCAATAGATTTGATTTACTCTAAAGAAATTCCCTGCCTGCTATTAAGGCTGGGAAAGAACATGATGCTCTTGGAAGCCCATGGCCACAGTTTTAGTAGGCAGATATCATTTCCTGCTGCCTCCATAGTTACAGTTTAACTTGCTAAGGTTGGTAGGATGAAATGAAAAGATTGCTTCACGCACCTGCTCTATGAGGGCAGGGTGGATTTGTCAACATAGTGGCACATCTGTCAGTGCCAGGAACTGGACACCCCTGGAGCCCTTCCCCAGCTGCCCTTGAATAACCATTAGCTTTCTGGACTCAGTGCTTTGTGCTTGGGGTCAAGCTCTGGGTGAGAACGCCTGCCCTAGATCCATCCCACAGCCTCGAGGGCCCTGCCCCTCCTTGTGGGAGAGCTGTCAGAGGGAGTCAGAAAAGTAAGTATATGCTGACCTGCTCTAAAGATTCATAAATCTGACTCCTTGCTTTTGTTAGAAATTGGCTGGCCTCATTGTCAGCTCCATTGTGGCTGACCTGTCCCAGGTGAACAGTTAGATCAAGTATTGGTGAAGGTTAGGCGCTGTTTTAATGAACCCTTTTTATGTGATTAGTTCAAGAATCTCAGAGGACAAACAGTCACAGTAGGCTAGGTGCTCACTCTGTTGACTCAAGGCCAGTCTTGCCGTGAATTCAAGCTCTGACTCATCTCTGGAGGTCAGGATAGCTTCTGTTTGGATAGTGGAAAAGTAGTGAAAAACAATTTCTAGAGGTGTGGAAGAAATTAAGTCCTGTTA